TGGTGGTGGTGGTGGTGGAGGCGAGCGGTTCAGTCGGGGTGGTGGTGGTGGTGGTGGAGGCGAGCGGTTCAGTCGGGGTGGCGGTGGCAGGATGGGAGGCGAGGGCCGTAGTTTTGGCACGCAGTCACAGCGCTGATTGTGCAGCAGAGTGGTGGAGTGGAGGCTGGATGGTGTTTGTGTGTGTATGGGAGTGTCTGTACTTCATTCTGTTTTTGTTTTCTTCGTGTTGAATGCATTGCCGCTGTTGTTTTGGTTTGCGGCGTGCCGCCCACCTTCTGCGATGTGCACACTCAACATGTGTAGGGCCACTTCTTCTCCATCACAGAGCGAAGGGNTTTGCGGCGTGCCGCCCACCTTCTGCGATGTGCACACTCAACATGTGTAGGGCCACTTCTTCTCCATCACAGAGCGAAGGGGTGTCGTGCAGCGGCTCCCTCCAGCACACACAACAACCACAAGAAAAAGAAGAAGCACAGAAAAAAAAAATTGGCCACGGGTGTGCAAAGGAAAGTGGCAACAAGAAGGATCGTTGCGGCACGCTGGCCTGTTTGTTTTTCTTGCAGACGGGTGATGCGAGACATGCACGTGCAATGAAGCTGGTGTGGTGATGGAGGAATGCAAACAAAGAAACAGATAGAGAGAACGATACATGTGTCATTGTTTCCTCATACGGTGTTCTGAGGGGGAAAAGGTGAAGAAACATATATGTGAGGGAGAGATAAAAGCGTGTGTATGTGTGTGGGCGTGGGCGTGGGCGTGGGCGTGGGCGTGTGTGCAGCCTACACCTGTATCCTGCATCAGGCTGTCGCGGCCTGACGTCAATCTTCGTATGTTTTCTTNGGTGTTCTGAGGGGGAAAAGGTGAAGAAACATATATGTGAGGGAGAGATAAAAGCGTGTGTATGTGTGTGGGCGTGGGCGTGGGCGTGTGTGCAGCCTACACCTGTATCCTGCATCAGGCTGTCGCGGCCTGACGTCAATCTTCGTATGTTTTCTTTCCTTTGTGGCAAGGGCCTTCAGTAGAACGAGCAGCAGCACGTGAACACTGCCACACTGTCTAATGGCACCTTCCCTATTGCGCCGCCACGTCGTTGTGTCCTTTTCTCCCCATATTTCGCATCACCCATACGCTACGGCTTGTCATTCTAGCAGCAAGAGGGGTATGGGGTGTTTCCGATAAGTTTCTGTTCTGTTTCAGTGAGCTTTATTGTTGTTGTTTTTTCGTTAAGGAAGCAGGGAAGATAGACGATGCTTGCGGCAGCTCGTGGGGTATTGAACAGGAGAGGTGCAACGCTTCTGCTGGCGCATTCCAAACTGAATGGTGCCGGCGAGACGATGCCGACGATGATAAGAGCACAAGGGTGGTCGACTGCCTGCTCCACCCATCATATAACGAGCGGCGCTGTCATTTCCCAGCGTCGGTTTCACGCCACGCTGGGTGGCAGCAACACATCGCAGCAACCGAGTGCGAGCAACGCGCCCCCTGCAGCGGCTGTGCCAAGCACCGCTGGCAAACCTGACCAGGAGGCCATTGACAACCTGCTGGATGAGATTCAGGTTGTGCTGAGCAGGCCCGTGCCGATTGGCGCGCTCTTTCGGGCGCTTTCCTCCGCGAGCAAGAAGACGCTGGCGAGAAACAAGGAGCCACTAGAGCAGCTGCTGCTTCGCTACCCGGAGCACTTTGCGGTGTACCAGCAGGGAAGTAATCGCAACCGCACAATTCACTGTGCCCCGCTACACTTGGTGCCGGCGAATGTGCGGCGTTTGGTGCTTGAGGAGAGTTCGGTGCCGGCAGTAGCGTCTTCTGCGTCGGAGTCCAAGAACCCGGCAGATATCCACGCAAGGATTCTGAAGCATGACCCTCTTGCAGAGAAACAGCAACGCATCAACACAGTGCTGCAGTACATCCCCAATGAGTGGTCGCCGTTCACAGACCTTGGCATCCCAGAGGAGGTGCGTGTGAAGTGCATGGGGAAGCCGAGTGTCAAGGCGTTTCAGTATTTTGAAAAGTACCCGCAGTATTTTGAGGTGCGGCAGCAGGGCTTAGCCGAGCACACCTTCTACGTCCGCCGCTCCTTGGCGCTGCAGCGAAACCTCGAGAAGTCCCCATAAGCTCTGTGAAGAAGAGAGAGAAGCTTATTCGTGTGTTTGTTGCCGGTGCATTCAAACTGCTGGGAGTGTGAGGGAAGAAGAGCAAGGGATTGCTCTTTGTTGTTACTGCTTCTGTCATTGTTGTTGTTGTTGTTGGTTATTGTCAGTAGTTCTGCGCATCACAGAGGAAACCCACTTGTTAAGTGACAATTGTGTGTATTGTAAGGAAGCAGGGGGGAGAGAGAGAGATAGGCTTCACTCTCATGTTCTGCACTGCACCTCCTGTTGCTCCATTCCCTCTCAAGGAAATCCTGCCTAGAAGATAGTAAAGGGAGAAGGAAAGGAAGAGGTGAATCATCTCCCGAAATGGCTACGGCGCAGCAACATAACGAAGAAGCTTCGCATGGCTTTTGGTGGACACACCAGCGACTTGCTGAAGAGGCCGCATCCGCATTAGCGACGCCCACAGCGGAGAGCACCATTCTCTCTTGCATGGATGAAGTTAAAGTGATCGCACGGGAGCTGTTGAAGGTGGCGATGCCCAGCAGAAGCGGGAAGAAGGAGAGCCTTCCTCTGATAGACAGTGCTGGTCTGCAGGGGTGGCATGAAAAATTGATTTGTGTGCGGGACCGGTTGTTAGTGGCGTTGGTTGCCGTGCAACAGGAGCAACACGACGGCGTGGCGGAGGTGGCGACGAGTGGTGGTGGCCCTGTTTGCGAGCGTGCCAGGATGGAGCTGCGTCACACAGTGCACCACATGCTGTTCCGGGTGGTTTTGGGCGAGTGGGCGGCGCAGTGGGCCTCCAGTAGTGAGGGGGCAAGCAGTGAATCTGTGGAGCGTCTTGTGGATGGCTTTCTCGATGATATTGCCTTCACGTATGCGTCGAGGTGGGACGCTGATGATGCGGTTGCGATGCGTAATATTGTTTCTTCATTCGTCGTAGAGACGTTGGGTATGATGCCCATTGAGGAGGAGCGACTGCTACCGCGACTCGCGCAGCACTCCTGGGATGCATTTCTGCTGGAGCTGCAGGGCGTGGAGGATGAAGTACAGCGTGTGTGTGGAGCAGTAGAAAAGGGAGAAATGGTGGGGGAACGGAAGAGTACCGCCCAAGATCTTGCGGCGCGCGTTATTTGTGTTCTGAAGATGTTGGCGGTGCTCCCTCCGACGGAAGCAGTGGCAACAGAAGTGATGATGGGCACGAGTACCAAATATGGTCATGTGGTGCTGACGACGTCCGCGAAGGCGAGGGCGGTGGTGGAGTCACTCGGCAGGTGGCTGCCGGTGTGTGTCGACTTCTTCTACACCATGGTGCCGCGCCGCCATGGCGAAAAGAAGACGGAAGACGGCGGTGTGGATGCAAACGAAGAGGGTGACGGCGCCGCCGCCGCCGCCGCCACCACGCCGGAGGCGCGTAATTGGATCCGTCGCCTTCAGCAGGAGGTGCAGCGTCTGTTCTTTGTGTTGGGGCAGTTCGATGAGACCTCGCCGTGGATCGTGGTACTTGCGGGAATCACTGCTCGCACATTCTTCATGACGCATGACTCTGTGGCTCAGCAGCATGAGGACAACAGTAATGACACGAAGAACAATGATGACGACGGCATGCAGATGCACGCAGCGCTCAAAGCGTTCTTGGCGTGGCAGATGGAGGCGGTAGAGAGCGCACCAGCGTCACAGCGGGCGCTGGCAGATGCTTGCAACATGAAGATGGGTCATGTTGTGTCGTGCGCACTCGACAAGAGTGGCCCGAGCAGTCTCAGCATCCGTGTGCTGCGCGTACTGCTGGTGCAGCGGCCCCTCACTACGCTTCGGCACTTCTTGGGATTTCTGTGCCCTACCAATAGTGTGGCGGCGGCGTGTGACTGCGAGGCGGCTATCACAGACAAGGGCAGCTCCAGTGAGTCGCGCTCGCTTGCGTTTCGTGACGAGCCGCTGGAGGAAAATGCGGCTGCACTGATGTTCTTCCCCAAGTATTTCACCGTGTTCTGTACTGTTGAGCAGGCGCTCTCAAGCCTCTGCGGCGACCTGGCGGGGGGTGACGTTGCCGCAGCTGCGCATGTGGTGGAGTCCTTCGCTGCAGCTGCGCTCGACGATGCGTTCACAGGCCTCAGCGGCAGTGGCGGTGCCGCTGCGAGTGAGTGGCTCATGTTCTTGGCGTTTGTCTGCAGCGAGACGCCCCTGTTTGATGTGGCCGCGCTACACCACGTTCGCAACGCCGCCCGTCGCTTCTTTGCGCCAGGGCGTGCAATGCTGTCGTACCTGCGACGCCGCATTGTATTACACGGGCAGCACGGCCTCGCCGCCTTCTTCCTGCCGCCGCTGCGGGCAGTTGGCGTAGACTACAGCACCGCCGCTGACCGCGAACATGTGAGCTGCGCGCTGCGCTACCCGCAGTCGGCGGAGGTGGCGTACTTCCAGGAGCTGCCGCGGGGCTTCTACAGCCGGCAGCCGATGCGCCTCGCTGTGAACGCGAAGAACGACGCACTTCGCTTCTTCCACGATTTCCTCATGCCGCCATCGTCATCATCATCCGCAGCAGCAGCAGTACCAGGAGAAGGGACGACAAGAGAAGATGAAAGCGTGGTGCTGCGTAACCTCTTCGTCGATATTGTCGCCCATGTGGGTGTGTTGGCTGCCGCACGTGTGCGCGGCGAGGCCGGCTGTAACTCTGCGGCGGATGCCGTCACGATGGACGTGATGTTGTCTGTGTTCTTTGGTGTTCTGCGGCTGTGCAGCAGCGTCACATACTGGGAAGCCGCCAAGCGGCACGACATTCAGCGAGCCATTGTGCAGAGGATGTGTGAGCTGAGCGCCACCCCAGCCTACGCAGTAGCAAGAGGAGGGGGAAAGACGCACAGACTGGCAGCGACTGCGGGCGGCAAAGGCGAGAGGAAAAGCCCACTGCCAATGGCGTTCCTTTTGCGCGGCGGCTGCGCCCTTGAGAAGGCGACCGCAGATGCTGCAACTGCAGGGATGCCAACAGCAGCAGTACCAGCTGCAGCAGTAGAGGTTGGTGGTGGTGGTGGTGGAGAAAGGGGAGGTGCGGAGATGCCGCACGCGTGGCACGACTGGTTCTGCGCCACAGAGTTTGAGGACCTAGATGCACGTGCCGGGTCGTGCGCTATGGTGCTGTTGAGGGCCTGCAACCGCCAGTACGTGAAGGACATCCCGACGCGGACGCTGCTCGCACGTCGCTCAACGTTGGAGCAGCACGCAGCGAAGGAGAAAGACTCCGGCGCGCAGGCGCGGGCACTAGCGGCGATGGAGGCAGCGATACAACACGATGTGAATTTGCTGTCTTCGCAGCAAAGCAACAAGGAGATTGTGCAACAACAACAACAGCAGCAGCAGCAGATGAAAAAGACGGTCGCCGTGGATGAGGAAGTCAAAGCCGAGGCGGACATGGAGACAAATAGGACGGGCATCGATGCCTCTGCTGCGGCAGTCACAACAGCACGGGGAGAAACAGCAAAACTCACAGGCGATGTCAACGCCAACAAGGACAAGAACTCTGATGGTGGAGCTGAGAACGAGGAGCAACAGAAGCAGCAGCACCAGCAGCAGAAGCAGTCGGCGCCACCTCCACGCCGAGATGATCGCCCACTTCCCCTTACAGTGGTGAAGCCGTATATTGAGAAAATGGCACTGACGCTTATGCAACGCGCTCGCATGTCGGTGGTGGACGGCACGGTGTCTGGCATGGCGCTAAAGAAGTGGTTGATGGTCATTGCGGGGCAGTTCGAGCCGCCGGCGGTGCTAGAAGCGGTGCGTCGAGTTGTACTGCAGGCAAACACGAAGCTCACACACGCGACAAAGCTCGAGTGTGCGTCGCTCTCAGCCTTTTTGGGCGTCGTCGCTGACGACATTGCGCTTCCATACAAGATGAGTTTTATTCATGCTCGGTCCACACATACAAAGACGCAGCAGCAGCAGCAGCAACAACAACATGGCTCTGTGCGGGCCGAGGTGGAGGCAGACAAAAGCGAGTGGCCCCGCCACGCCCTCCCTTCGTCGGAGAAGAACGCCGATATGCTTCTGCGTGTTCTCATCGCCGATACCACACGCACGGTGACATCATTCCTAGAGGAGGGCACGCCGCTCGGCGACTGGAAGGCGTACTCGCTCGGCCTCCATTTGAGGCGCATCATGGGGCTTGTGCAGCGCCACGAGGCGGCGTTCCGCGCGGCGCTGGCGAAGCGGCTGCAGCAGTTGGGCATGACACCTGGCTCTGCGAACAGCACGCACCCAGTTCAGATGCTCTCCGCGGTGGAGTTTCCGCTGCTTGAAAACATGACGGCACCGGCGGGGGATGTCGATCACCTCTTCAGCAATGCACCGCCGTCTGCGGTTGCATCACGTCACCCACCGGCGTTCTCGCGGACCACAGGTGGACGTGGTAACAACAAGAGCAGCAGCGGTAGTGGCAACACCAACACAGGAGTAGCAGCAGACAAGCTAGCTCCAGGGGCAGAAAGTAGTGCCAAGAATAATAACAACAATGGAAGAAGGGAGTGGGTGGCGTCAGGGGATGCGCTCAGACGGAAACGGCATCGCCCGTCGGATGATTCTTACACCCACCGACATGGGAAGTGGAGAAGTGGTCCTCGTGATAACGCAGAGTGATGGCTACCCTCTTGTTCCTTCGCTCACGGTTTCCCTTGACCTATCTATTCATCTAATACCCATATAAAAACTATATGGGTATTTGGTCCTCTATGGTGAGGATATTCAAGCATAAGCTCTCATGTTGGAACGTCGAGGAGGTGCCGTACATGCACAAGTACAAATCATTTTAAACCCGAATTATCTCACAATCACTTACACTTCCAACCCTCCTTTTGGGGAAGGCGTGTGTCAGACACCACCTTGCTCCCTTCATATTCCTTGCTATCATGTCACTCTTTCTGTATGATTGGCTGAAGTAACTAAAAAAGCATCAGCTAATAGGCAAAGGCAACAGAAGAGAAAAAGAAAGAAAAAAATCTTCACCCCTTGTTCAGTGATTTGCACGTCACCCCCCCTGAACTATTTGGCTCGCGTACTCACTTGCACGACAGATATAACAAACCACAATCGTAACAGCCACAACTACAAGAAAAGGATAAACAAGAACAGATGCGCCGTCTTGCTGTTTCTTCGCTTATCTCCGCGGCCGTTGCGACCCGCGCAGTGACGACCCTGTCGATCCGCGACGCCCTGAACAAGGCCATTGACGAGGAGATGGAGCGTGACAAGACCGTGTTCCTCCTCGGCGAGGAGATAGGGCAGTACCAGGGGGCGTACAAGGTAACTAAGGGCCTGATGGATAAGTACGGCACTACTCGTGTCATTGACACCCCCATCACAGAGCACGGCTTCGCGGGTATGGCAGTCGGTGCAGCAATGAACGGACTGCGGCCTGTCTGCGAGTTCATGACGATGAACTTTGCGATGCAGGCAATTGATCAGATCATAAACTCCGCGGGCAAGGGGCACTACATGTCGGGTGGCCAGCTCAAGTGCCCGATTGTGTTCCGCGGACCCAACGGCGCCTCGGCGGGTGTGGCGGCGCAGCACAGCCAGTGCTACGCGCCGTGGTACGCCTCCGTGCCTGGGTTGAAGGTGTTTGCACCCTACAACGCTGAGGACGCGCGCGGCATGATCAAGACGGCAATCCGCGACGACAACCCGGTGGTGATGCTCGAGCACGAGCTGCTCTACGGCGAGTCCTTCGGGATCTCCGACGAGGCGATGGGGAAGGACTTCCTCATTCCGTGGGGCAAGGCGAAGATTGAGCGGCCGGGCAAGCACATCACGATGATCGGCTTCTCGCGCGGCGTGGAGCTGTGCCTCAAGGCGGCCGACCAGCTCGCGAAGGAAGGCGTCGAGGCGGAAGTGATCAACCTGCGCTCGCTGCGCCCGCTCGACCGCCAGACGATCATCGCATCCATCAAGAAGACGGGACGCGCCATTACAGTGGACGAGTCCTTCCCGGTGTGCAATATCGGCGCGGAGATCTGCGCCATAGTCATGGAGAGTGAGGCGTTCGACTACCTCGACGCCCCGATGGAGCGCGTGTCTTGTGCCGACTGTCCGACGCCGTACTCGAAGGAACTCGAGGCGGCGTCGCAGCCACAGTTGTCGGACGTGCTCGCTGTGGCCCGCCGCGTCCTCAGCTAAGTAGCAGAACGGTGTGGAGCAGATGGGACGATGAGAAGGGTGCCACTGCCGCTGCTGTGGGTGGTGACAGTGGTGGTGGAAATGAAGGAAGGGAACACAAGACGGGCATATTTTTGTTCTGGATCCGCATGAAATAACGGAAGGAAGGAAGGAAGGAAGGAAGAAGGGGTGTTAACGATGGCGGTGAGGGTGTGGTGGAAGCAGGAGGTGGCTTAGAAGAAAGCGAAATTGGGGTGGGGGATGTCCTTTCCCACTTCCCCCATTCTCCTCCCACACGGCCCCGCACGCAGATGCGCACATCCGGCACGCCAATTCCCTTTAGCTTCACCTTCCCATATAAGCTGTATATATATATATATATATAT